AAAAAAGGGCAAAAAAATAGTTGCTGGAACATTACCTCTCTTGCTCCTAGATGGCTTGGGGCATCTTGTTGAGCATAGAGGGGAGTCTGGCTGGAAGCGGTTACAGATCAGGACACTGCAGTGAAAATATACCTAGAACAGAGCAAGTCACATGCTTTTAGATACAATAACTACTCATACTTACTGCTCTAAAGAAGAAGAAATATCACCTACTAGACCAGGAAGAGCTTTGTCACCAGACATAAAGGCAAAGGTCTTCACTTCCAGCCTCTGGCGATAGTTTGCATAACTGACACCACGTCCCACAGGATGAAACACAGTCTTGTAGCTATCCAGATCATACTCACACCTACCAGAGAGTGAAAGCAAGTCAGAAGGGCTGGGTAGATGTTTTCAGAAGGTCAGAGTTCAAGGCAGAGAACCTGCCACTCCTGGAAGTGGCAAGACAAGGGCAGCACCCCTGAGGTGATTAGAGGGCAACCTCTTAAAATCCCTGTTCCCAGGGGGCTGTTCCCACAGGGTAGAGAAGGGAGTAGTTAGAGATATCCTCCCACTCACTGCTGCCAATAGTGGTTTCATTCACATTCATCCAGCAGAATACTCACCCATCCACAACAATATTCCACTGAGAAAGAGAGCTTGGTTCTTGTGATGCTGTTGCCCAACAGTCATCCAACACCAGCTGAAGGTTAGGATCATTGCGGTTCAGAACTTGGACTTCCAGGAAGATGGGCTGCCGCAGGTACCTTACTATTGGATACTGGTTATCATGGTATGGATGTCTGTACGAGTCATCTGGAAGAGCCAAAGTCACATTAAGTAAGCTAGCATGCAACAAGAAGGTCCTTGAAGAGCTCTAGGATTAAAAGCCTCTCCAGACTAGTCAGCTCATCAGCTGTAGTTCATCCCAGGAAGCTATAACAGCACTAGCTTAAGATTAGCTCAAATATCATTAGAGGAAGCACATCAGCCCTACTGAAGCATCAAGCCCCCACAAAAAAACCCAGCATGCATCAAGACAGTACATTACATATGAACCCCTCCCACCACAAGCTCTCATTACTCCCCAGAGATCTGATCCAGAGCCAGCCTTACCTGGATAGCTCAGAAGAACTAAGGAGAGAGGACCTTGGTTCATTGAAGAAGCTAAAGAAGGAAGACTGTCTACCTTGATAGTCAGAGAAGCATCACCATTGCTGAAGGAGCACAGCACTGTTAGCCTAGAACAAGAGAGGAGCAGATAGATCTCACATCCAGATATATAAAATTCCTTGAACAATATCTAGTCCTGTGCAAGTTTAGACACACCTTAGTTCACTGTCCCTTGAGATCCTGCGCGGTGGAAGGTCTGCCCACAGTGCCCTCACTTCATTCTCATAGATGATTCTTTCCCCATCAAACTGAGGGGAAGATGAACAGCATTAGGAAGGGCATCCCCAGACCATGAACCGCTGCCCATTAACCTTGGCTAAATACTTACCCAATACCTGGTCCCACATGCACTCAGTGGGACATGAAACCAAACCCTATCATTCAAAGGGGACTTAAAGGCTGGCTTGCAGGAAGGATCTCTGAGCCTTAGTGTATCCAAGTTCAGTGGTGGTTTGGTACTATCAGCAAGAACTTCAAAATCCATGTACCCATCCTGAGTGCATACAGCAGCTGCAACAGAAGTTTTCATGAGACATCACATCCAGCCTAGGGTGACCAGCTATGCCAAGAGCTATTCACTCTGGCTAAACAACCTAGAAAGGCTATTGAAGGACTAATTCAAGAACAAGCTATATATTGTAGTGCTTTCTATAATTTCATCACCTATTGGTGCGCGCTGGTCACAAGGGCATTCTGGATGCATCACCATTGCCACAGTCTCCTCATGGAAGTGAAAAGCCAGTTTCAGAGAGGACAAGTAGGCCTGGAGTCCTGAGCAGCTCCCCCCATGTAGCTGAAAGACAGAGCCACTCTGAGCATCAGCACAAGATGTCTGCTCCACATGTGCTAGAAGCTACAGGTTAAGATGGCTGACACTCAGCTAGTTGGGTTACTTCCATGACTCTCAAGATGGAAAATACCATCACATTTCAAGAAAAATATTTTATTTTCAGTTCTTATGCCAAGAGGCATGAGACTCAAGTTACCTTAAAGTGACACTTACATACTACAGTCAGGTCATGCCCTACAGGTCACATCTTGATTACAAGTCCCTTTGGGCACATGGTTTCCCTTAAGGGATGTTTGATCAGATTCAAAACTAGCTTCCAGTAAGCACTGTCATGGGCCATGCCAAGAAAACTCTTGGATTTAAGAATATATGAACTTACCCTGGATTTCAGGATTCCCCTGCTAATGTGCATCTTAGTTCCTTTCTTCATGTGCACAGCAATACCATTTTCCTGAAGTTGGTCAAGAGGAATGGTCCTGTCCTCTACAGCCACAGCCATAAGAGTCCCTGGGAAGGCTGGGATGGTAACAGTCATGTGTGTTGCATTACAGACTGCTGGATCTGCAACAAGATCTTTGTTATTACACCACTCTCTCCAGCTCAGAAACATGTCAGATCCCTCCACACGTTACCTGGTGCACAAAGCATTCTTGACTCCACTGTCAGTCTCCGTTCAGGAGGTCCATATGTGAGCTTGAGTGCCACAGTATAGAGTACCTGGCCATTTTGCTGCAGAAATACATGCAGAGACCCATTAAGGGTAGGCAACTCATCTCAAGATTCATCACAAGAAGCAATACCAGAGCTATACCGCAAGTGTGGCTAGTGCTGTTGAGGCTTGCAGCAGTAATTTACTACTGATTCAAACATCCTCTCAGAACAGGCCTGCTCATGAGACTGCAGGTCAAATCCTTGCAGGACAGGAGATGTTCTACTGGAGAAAAAACAAACAGCTGCACTACTGAGATGTGCACTGATCATTCTCCATTTTATGTTAGGTTATCTGATGACAAATACATAAGGTGATACACCTTTGCATGCATCCAGCTAGGCAATGCATCAGACTGATACCAGTTCTGGACATAGCCTGCAAGTGCTTTCCCCAGGCCTATAAGAAAGCAGTATCTGGACTCTGAGGAAGGAGCACCGTCTCCTCTGCATGTCCTTACCTTGTAGGATACAACCCCAGTTGCACTGAAGGCCACCTGAAAGACCAAGTTATGTCCATCAGCTAGAAAACTATAGCCTTGCTGCATGGCTTGTCCAAGACTTAGCTGGTGAATCTTGGTTCCATCATCAATGGACAGAGTCCAAGTCATTGGAGTTACTGGAACCTGCAAAGGAAGAGCCCTGGCTTAGAAAAGTACAAGACATTATGTAGTTCCTCACTCTCCAGGGATGCCACCTGACTGCTTCTACATTTAAGATCCCTTTAAGGGAAACAGGAAATTAGGCTTCCCAACAAGAAGGAAGCATCCCAGAAGAGGGACTGCTCCAGTCTGGAGATGTCAGGCCCAGAAACTCTTCTCCAGCTTTAGAAAGACAGAAAGCACATACCACATGCTCATCACTGAAGCTTGGAATGAGTCTTGGGAAAGTAACCTGAAACAGAGCACAGGGTCAGAGCACAGAAACAGATAGCAGGCAGTTTCACCTTTAACTGAAAACCCTGCTTTAACTTTCTAAAGTAGTACTGCTGCCAACAAGGACAACAGCAACATCCCCATTTTCCTTGCAACAGGGCTGCAGCCAGATCATGTGCATCACTAATGGCCATTTGCAGACTGGCTCTACAAAGAGAGAAGGGTCATGCCAAGATAGAGGTGCAGCCAATAGACCTCCCTGATGTTGGCTGGGGACTTTTTTCCCCTCTGGCTTCCTGCAGATCCCAGTCACTGTTCTGGGAAACAGTCATCATGCCTTGCAAGCCTGTCAGCATTTCCTACAGCACTCCTATTTCTCCACTTACTGCCATGAAGTCTTTTGTACAGTTTGTTGCACCAGTAAAGAAAGGAGGGATGACTTCATTGGCATGAACAACACTGCAGTGAGCCCTGGAGGTTATGTTCTTCTCTCCTCCTGTTGTGTCATTCACCATCAGCTTCAGTCTCAGCTGGTGCTGGCCATGCTGTGGGCAACAGAAGATACCAATCAGAAAGAGAGAAAGCTTATATTGCAGCATGAGTACAAAGTCTTTGCTCTGAAGTTCAGTCTCAGAGTTAGTTGCTTACCCTGGAGGCAAGGACAAACAAGGCCCTTGTGGGAAAGGATGAACTCCCTACAAAAGCATAGATCCACAGCTTAGGCTAGAAAGTAGAAAGTACTAAGAAAACTGTAGGCCTTGCAGAGAAATCATTAAGGACTGCCTGACTGATGGGCCAGGGGTCTGACTGTTATTCTTTTTTTCTTCATGACAGAAAGTTTAGGGGCACTTTCCCTAAAGCTTAGAAGCAATGGATGCCAGCGAAGACTCTGCTTTCAAGAGTATAGTTTGGATTAGCCTCTAGTTATTGCTTTCTCAAAGTGAGTAATAACAAGCATCAGTTGTATCATAAGTATGCAAAGGTAACATTAAAATGCCACCATGACTCTTGAAGCTTTTTGATCTCCCTATGTTTTATAACCTATATGAAACTCATGAGTAGTTCTTATCTTTACCTCCAAGCTTGTGCAATTCACAAACAGGGCACTGAGCAACAGCTTCTCATAGTCCACCAGATAGTCACAGGATGTTATTTCCTCATCACTTGCATCTAGAGAGAAAAGCTATTAGCCCTGCAGGCAAGCACCCACCTTCAGGCTACAGCCCAAGGAGAGTGCACCAGGCCAGCACATACCTACTACAGAGCCTTGCCAGGAGTAGTTGCCCAGCTCACTAGAAAACTCAACCTCCATCCTGTCCCTGTGACAGGTCACACTCTCTGCAAAAGAGCCATAGTCAGCTTTGCCATCACACACCCTGCCAAACCCCCAGGCAGCCACCCTCTCTCCATGCCCACAGAGGGGAGAGCACAAGGAGCCTCAAGAGCCCCTCAAGCCTCCACCTGAACCCCTATCAGCCCAGGGAGGCCTCATTACCCAAGAAGTCCTGATCCCCTAAGCCACCAGCACAAGGGGCTAAAGGCAGCAAAAATCCAAACAGGAGCAGCAACCTGCAACAGAAGAGAACCAAATGAGCAAGCAAAGAGGAAAGGAGCCAGGTCCCCTACTGCAACACCACTCACCACATCCTGGAAGTGCCTAGGCAGTGCTGCCCCAAGACCAGCCACATCTTCCCACTGCCACCACCAAGCTCAGAATGAGGGAACCTGGAGAGGGGTTATATAGGTCCTGGCCAGGCCCCACACAGCTGCAGCCCCTCTGCTGCTGAGGGGATGGAAGGGTTGCAGCTGCCTCTCATTAAGCTGCAATCCCTAGCCGTGAAGGGGAGGCTCAGAGGAGACCTTCAGGTGATGCTAAGGCTGACATTGATTGTTGATTAGACTTTTTAGGGATTGTTTTTCTCTAACAGTGTTCTCTTGACATCTTGACAGATGTTTCATAGGAAAACATACATTTAGGAACTTAATTTTTTTTTTTTCCTCTCCTCCTCCTCCTAAAGAGAGAGATTTCTCTACCTTGTGATACTCTGATGATTTAACACAGTTCCATTAATGGGTTTGTATGGGATTGAGGTTATTTTGTTTTCCTGTCTTGAACATACATTTAGGAACATACATTGAGGTTATTTTGTTTTCCTGTCTTGGCAAAATCTGCAGTGCTGATATAGTTTTAATTAGGAGGGGAAATATGACTGACAGATTGAGGAAGAGAATGAAGGCTTGATCAGATCTCTAGACTGGAAGCTCTCTGGAGCCGGTGTAGGCTAGAACGTCAGCCCTGAAATCTTGGGGAAGAGACCTGGCAAAAAGGAGACTCAGATTGATGATATTTTGTTATTTTTTCTTTACTCATTATATTGTTCCTTTGGACTGAGTGTCCACAATTACCTCATGTGTCCAGTTTCTTTCTTTCCTAAGCCCGTTAGTTCCCACGGGATCCCATTAGACGAGCTGAGGAGACCTCCCTTGTCTGCCCATTGCCATCCTGCATGGGCTGCTTAGAAAAGTTGCAATGAGGAAACACTGTGCGAGATAATAACCTCATGGAAAACGGATGGCATGGCAACATCACTGGGTTTCTCCCAAGGCATGAAGTAAGACCAGGCTCTGAATTATCTGGAGAAACACAGCAAATGGTTCATTATCTGGAGCAACGTAACTAACAGTAGTCCTGAAATGAGCTTGAATAAAGCCTAAAATAGTCTGTTTAGCAGCTGCTGCTGTTATATTTAAGATAGTTGTTAAAAAATAGAGAAATATTCATAGACATAGCAAAATCCAATAACAAATCAAAACTGCCAGTTAAATAATTCATTAGTTTACAACAACACGTACCATCACAACAGAGCTTCTCCTGAGCCTGGTAAGACATTTCAATTGGGAGTGAAATGGTTGTGAAGTTCTTTTCAAACCCCCAAAGAAAAGCTTCCTTCTAACTAAGCAGGGAGTTTAAAAAGTTCACAATTTTGAGCCCTATTCTCAAAAGACAAATCTCCACTCAGCCTGAGAAATTTAACTCTCAGGCTAAGAAATTTAACATCAATTGCATCCATTGCAGTAAAGTTGAGTCTTTAGGTGGGACAAAGAACCACCTAAGCTGAGGTGTTAGGTTGTAACAAATACCAGAATTTTAGAAATATGTGGAGATTTTGTTTGGTCTTTTCTTTCTTTGCGATGCCCCTTTTGCAAATAATAAGAAAACTTGCAAAATCCCAGACTGTCTCTTCAACTGAAGTGGGTTTTGCTTTATCTCTAGTTAAAACTTGTAACAGATAAAAAACAACTTACTATTAGATAAAGTAACTTTTATAAAAATAAACATTTTCACACGGTGCATGACAGAAATTACTCTGAGATCACTGGTTTGCATGCTGATTCGATTACCAGAAAAGGTAATGAAGGTACTCCTATACTATAAAACAAAAATCTTGAAAAAGAGAATAGAAAATTCTCCCTTGCCATGAGTTCCCACCCAGGGTATGGCCAGATGTGTGAAATTCAAACATATGGGGAAAAAACCATGTTTTCTTTCTCATACCAAGCACTGGTGGCCTGTGCAGTGGCTGCCTCGGTGGTCCACTCACAAGAGACAAAGAGCTTGCAACACCCAAAAATTCAAGGGCATCAAGCAACAGCCAATCTAATATATTCATAACAAAGCATGTCTTTGTCTTGCAGTGTTTTTTTTCTATTAGCTGTAAATTTAACCCAGCGCTGTGCCTGGTTAAATACAAAATGGAGTGAATCGCCTTGCATTTGTGGTTAGGAAAGTATTGGTGGGGAACTTGAAGAAAGGGCTGAAGGTAAAAGTGCCTTCTGATGCTGGGGTGGCAAGCAGGTCTACATGCCCTAAAGCAGGGCTTCAGGTTACTCCTGGGCAAGCTTGTTTATTCAAAGATTAAAATCTGTCCCAGGATATGACTAGATTCTCCTTGCCTTCCTGAAGAAAAATGTAGGTAAAAGCTTGTTCTTGAAGAACTCTTCAATCTCTGTCTGAGAAAATAATTAAGAGAGAAGGGCCGTCTGGAGAGATGGCCCTTGAATTGCATGGGCGGCACTGTGGGAAGTAAATGAGGTTACAGTCGCTGCGGTAATTGCAGCAGCCCCAGACAATGACTCCTCTTGCGATTGCGACAGGCCGAATCGCAGGCCGCTCTCGCGGGGGACATAATAGGCAACGACCTCTCCCTGCTAATTGCTGAGAGCCCGTTCCCTAAGAGGCAAGTTGATTGAGCCAGAATTTGTAGAAAACAGCTCGACAAAAAGTAACATTTAGCTGGTAGCTGCTGCGAGTGTGAGCAGAATAGCTGGGGCTTCCTCTGTTTTATTAGGCTATTTATATTCTCCTACTGATTTCTCCTCAACTACTGTTTTAAAACTACCGTTAATTAGTTTTGCTTAGTTATTCATTTAAATCTCAAAATCAGAATTACAGTCTTATTCTGTAAGCCTTTACCTAGGGCTAGAACGGTAGCCCTTCCTCACACAAACGATTGCCGTGAAATCAGCGGGAACGGCCTCTGAAGCCGGAGTAGGGACGTGCAGAGAGGCCTGTCCCCAGGCGAGGGGTGCAGGGAGGTCAGGACAGGCAGTGTGGGCATCGTGGGCTTCTGCTTCCTGAATTCCCTGTGCCACCTTGCAAACATCCTTTAGTTCTTCTCACTTACATCGATAATGGAGATAACAAATCTATCAAAAAACAAAAGTATTTTATTAGTGAGGGTGAAATCTGGCCATGTTGACATCAGTGGCAAATCTCCCTTTCAACCCAGTTGTCCCAAAAGAGCTCAGCAGAAGAGGCCACAAGAAGAGCTAGGACATGGAAAACACACCTGAGCCCCATCAGTGTTTGCATGGACAAATCTGCTGTGAGCGAGCAAGAGAGGGAAAACGAAAGTGTTCAATGTCCCACGGCCTCCCTACCTGTGGGGTGAACTTTGCCTCCTCATTTCTATCCTGGAGGTGACGTCTCCACTTGTGACTGTTGATTAACTATCCCTGGAGCAAGAGCAGCTCTACAGTCTGGCTGCTCTTCAGAGTCAAGGAAAATGTCCACCAGGTATCACAAAGCAGCAGCTGATGGCAACTTGGAGCTCCTCAAAGAAGCCACTAAAAAGGATCTCAATACTCCGGATGAGGATGGGATGACGCCCACCCTGCTGGCAGCGTACCATGGCTATCTGGAAGCTCTGGAAGTCACCTGTCGGAGGGGGTAAGTGAATCAGGCCCAGCACACTAGACCTTGTGGCACAAAGCTGCAAGTGGTGAGTAATGGCCCTAATGCAGCTAAGTAGTATTTACTAGCAGTAAGATTTCTTAGTGTAATCATTTAAATATGCTGCATGCTTAAAATATATTACCTGAAAAGGTCACTAGCTACCCATTTCAACCTCTGTACTCTGCTTTGAAGCCTGCCTTTTAAGCTGTGGTGCTGCAAGAAGATCTAATAAAAGAGATACTTTTCATGTGCAGAGATGCAGTAAAGAAAACGACTTTTTCTGAGCTGAGATGAAGATCAAGTCGACCTGTGTTTTCATTTGTAATACCTCAAAGAAGACTGGAGGGAAAAAAGCTGAATAGCTACTTGGATGTATTTCATTTTTATTTTCTTAGGAAATGGAATTGAATATATAGACCACACTGCTTTAGCTCATCGAGCTCAGGCGTGGTTGTAATAACACGATAAAAGAGACCTTTGGACCGTATGGTTAGTGCTGTGTCCTCAAAAGCAGCAAAAAAGCCACACAGGTTTTCAACTTGTTTAAACCAGCACCAAGGAAACAGATAGAGTCATAACAGGTTTGTCTGTGAACACATGAAACAGAACTATGGCTAAGGAAACAATAATAGAATAATCTTCTCCAGAATTTGAGTGAAAAATGTGTATTTTATCATATACATCAATAGTAGTCACAGCAGATGACACAAAGATCAGGATTTCTACATATTTGTTAGTCAGTATATTTCTGTCTCTATTTTTCTCGGTATAGCACAACTTTGGGATAGTATTGCCTTCAAAATCTTCAAAATTCACCTCTATTTTAATCCAAGATTCCCTGACACAATCCATAGACTGAGGCAGACAGTGATATCCCTGCAGTCTTGCTCATCCCTCCTCGGTCTCTGGAAAGAAGCAGAATTGTGGCAGATTTCCCTTATTCTACAGGCTTGCAGTGGTTCCTTGCGAGAAAATACTCTGATTATTTCAAACAAATTCTGCCTTTCTCTGAAGCAAGAGGGTTTAAGGGCTTTCCTGACACTGCACTCAGATACACAATGGGTTTTTTTGTAATTTTTTTTTCCTAAGTGGTTGCAGATTTTAGAACTCCGAAGCCTGCAACACACTTGGCCTCTAGAAAAATGGGGTAATACTAACAACAACCCCTTTCATCCTCAACCAATTTGTCCTCCCAGGCATTAAGAGACAGGAGATGTTCTCTCTGCCTGCTGTGCAGGGCCCCAGCCAGAGGAAGGCCCAGGCAGCAGAGCAGGCAGAAGATCCACCCGCTTTGGCTGGGCCTCCTTCCTCCTGCCTGGGAAGGGAGGCAGAGGAGGAGTGTGAGGACCCAAAGTAGATGCTAGACTTACCCAAAGTCCCACCGAGTAGGGAGTCAGCTCTCTAGCTTGTGAATTGTTGGAGAGCCAAAGGTTGCATGGAGAAAAAGAAGCCGCAAGCAGCGGCTGTGCAGGGATGGAACTGGGGGATCTGGCGTCCTGGGCATCCTCTGCTGTGGTCAGGCAGCTCCCTAGGACAGAGGCAGAAAGCAGAAGTATGCACATATGTTGTCCATATGCCTAAGACAAAAACGTTGATCCTCAGCTGCCACCTCCTTGCAGCAATGCTCTGTGCACAGATTCCCTGCTCTTTCTCCATGGGAACAGCTGGGTCTGTGGCCCTGGGGACCACAGTCTCCCTGTTGCCTCCTGCCTGTCTGAAGGAAGTTCTCACTCTTACCCCTTCCCAAATATGCCAGTGCTTTTCTCCCTATAATGTGCAAAGCCAGAAATCGATACCTGAAGGGAACTCTGTGACAGAATGCATCATTTCATCCATAAAACAATAGCCATGAAATAAATTCCCCAGGACACTTAAATGTTTGAAGCTCCCAAGAGAATAAATTCTCTTTGTGGATTTGACCTCTGAAGTTATTAAGAATTCTGGATTACTATGAGTGTCTTGGTTATTGGGCACAGAAGACTCGCGTGTTGTTCTGCACCACTGCTAATCTAGATCCTACCAAATATGAGTGAAAAGATTCAAAACAGTTCAGTGTGAAACGAATGCAAGAGTTAAAAAGAAAGCAACACTTTTCAATGGCTTTAAATTCAATTGGAAAGATGTGGCATTTTATTTTCAAATGAGCTTCTGCTTTCCAAAAAGCCCAAGAGCAAAAGCAGTTTAAGAAGAACAAAAGAGCTGAAAGAAAAGAGAGGCTTCTGTCTGAGCTTATTCTAACAGTAATGGAGACAAATGGGTTGTCAGGACCTGTCTCATAATCATCTACCTATTTCCTATCAAAAAGTTTACTGCTGTGGGCATATTAAATAGGGATCGCTGTGATCAATGAAGAATCCTCCTAATATTGTCCCTGCATGTGACATGCAAAAGGAAAAATAATGGCCAATAACTTTTAAAATATTCTGACCAAAAGCCACTGAAGCAACTTGGCCATTAATTCCAGCAAGCACAAGTCAAATCCTGAGTTAGTTATAGAGAGGTCAGTGCTGCCATCTCGCTCATGCCTGGGGCTGTTGCTGTTTCCTGACGTACCACAGGAGGAACCACCAATGCTTCATCATGGGCATCTGCAGTCACAGGGCCCCAAAGAGCTGGCTTAACTCAGCAAGGGTAAGTAGGTGCAGCACGGGTCTAGAGAACAGGGCTAAATTGGGTCATTTTCACTGGGGCTGTACTCCTCATAGCAAAACTGAATTGACCTGCTGTGCCGTGTTGGTTATGCCCAGCTCACTGCATGGTGTTCTCCTTCTCAGAGGTGATCCGGACAAATGCGACATCTGGGGGAACACTCCTCTCCACCACGCGGCTTC